AAGAAGGAAAGAAAGAAGGAAGGAAGGAAGGAAGGAAGGAAGGAAGGAAGGAAGGAAGGAAGGAAGGAAGGAAGGAAGGAAAAGAAAGAAAAGTCATAGAAATATAAAGACAAAATTCTCCTACCTGAGATCCTTGGATTTCAGAACTTTTTTTCTGGCCCTACTATATTGGAAACTGCTAAGTGTGGAAGAAGGGAAGATAGTGTAATTCATGTTCGTTCCCACTAAACAAGTGTTGATGTGTGCAGGCTACGAATCAGGTGAATCAAAGTTACAAGGACAACAGTAACAAGGTAGCACTCTTTCCAGAAAATTTACTGCCTCAAATACTGGTAACTGCTGCTGGTTCATATGAGTTAGTAGACATTTGAGCTAGGCAGGACTGTATTCACTCCAGAGACTCCCAGTCTGTGTACTTCTGTGGCATATTAAATTTGATCACCAAGGCTTATCCTCACATGTGTTGGCTACTTGAAGAATTTTTTTTAAACATCACTGTGTTTTACTCTGTAAGGTGAGAGATCTAGTAACAAAATAATCTGCTGGTCTACTTCTCTCCAGACTATTAAACCTACCCCCAACTAAGTCCAGATTTGTACAGTCTTTCTTTTCACCATAGAGGGTTTGAGCCAGTAACTCCAATGTCCCACACAACCCGAATCTCCTACTGCTTATTAATCCCCTTCCATGAATTTATACTACAGCTTTGCTGTCTCCATGATTGTCTTTTAAAATACAAGTTTTCCACACAGATATTGTGATAGGGTGTTTCCAGGCTCCCTGACTTGTGATTATGGTGATTAGTCCAAGTATTCTGTTACCTAGGATAGCTTAAAGTAAAACATTAGACTCCTTTTCAAGATGCCCACTGATTATAACATTCCTGGATATGAGGAATGTGACAGTGGGATTCCCCATGCAGTAGTAGTCACTGCTGCACCAACTGCCTGCACTGAATTTCAGGTCTGGAAGAATCATGGGGTTCTTCTGTGACTAGGATCCATAGTACATTGCCACCAGGCTTGTCTGCCCCGTCAAGGCACTTGTGAATGAGACTTTGTAATTCCCCTTCCCCACATGGAGCTCAGATTCAAATTATAGGCTGCTTTCTACCTCACCCTGGCCTTTCTGCTTTTCTGTTTTGTTTTTGTTTTGTTTTTTTTGTTTTTTAAGATTCCATGTCTCCTCGGTCTTGGTTCCTGATGTTCTTAATCTTTATCATTCATCAGGATGTAATTTCTTTGAGTGCCCTCATTGGCACACTCAAATGGAAGAATTATCTAATTTCTATTCTTTCCCTGGATTCCAAGGACTGATGATTTAATGAAGGAACCTGTGCCCTCTGATCATCTCTTATGATAAATGCAATGAAGTTAGAAGGAGTTTATACTTAAAGTCATTTGAAGGTATCTGGACAAATGGATTCTTTGTTTTTCTGATCTAAGCTGAATGGGCCATTTAAGGCTATGAAAATAGTTTAACCTTGATTTCTCAAAATAACCTTAATCTGAACCGGGAAATCTGCCTGCTTTTAAACAACTGTGGTTTAATCATTTGTGTGCATATGAATCATCTATTCCCCAGTTGATCTTCCTTTACTGAGCCTTTAGATATCCTTAAATGAAAGTCTTCTAAAGAATATAAATTTGCATGGATATACAACTACTTCTCCTCCCCTTTTATATACCAGCATTTCAACAACTGAACTCCTGAAAAATGGTTTTCATCCCCTGCAATAGAGATGTTTTTGCCATGGCTTTTTGTACTACGTAACTGAAGATTTTGTCCTGTGAGGCTCTATGGTCTAATCTTACATGCCAATATTTTGAAGAATTATTTGTGCTACTAGAATAATTCTGGGGAACCAGAAACTTCATAATGCTTAATATGTTGTATATATTGATAATGTATGTATGATTTTGTATTCTCAGACAAGAAAGATGTGGATGACAAGATGAGTCATATGCTTTCCTTCCATGTGGAACAGATATGAAGTGAAACTGAATCAAAATGAATCCTTCCTCACTAGTCTCTTTCAGCTACTCTGTCACAGAGAGGAGAATAGTAACCTAAACTTTGCGGATGTTATCATAAGCACTGGTATACACCACTGGCCTTTTTTCATGCTAATTTCACCATAGTTTCTTTTTTAAAAAGTCTTTATTGAGCTTTTGTACGTTTCATCCGACAGTTCTTAATCAAATTTAGACCCTCCTTCCTTATCTATGCCCTCCTCCTCCAGACCTCCTGCATTCCATCATACATGTTAAGTCCTATCCATTTAAGCAGTTGTACCCAGATGTTCTTCTTTTCTAAAAAATATTTTATTTATTATTTTTATGTGTATGCATGTATTGCCTGCATTTAGGTAAGTGCACCTGTGTCGTCCAATGCCTACAGAGGACAGAAGAGACTGTTGGACCTCTTGGAACTGAAGTCATGGACAGTTGTTAGCTGCCATGTGGGTGCTTGGATTCGAACCCAGGTCTTCTGCAAGAACAGTCAGTGTTCTTAGCTGCTGAATCATCTTTCTAGCCCCCCCCATATCCTTCTGTGCAGATTCATCCACTGGTGTTTAGTCAGCCTATCTAGGGATCATAAGGATGGTATATTCTCCCTTACACAGTAGTAATCACTCTCCAGCAGTTTCCAGGCTAGGGTCGGCCTGCCGCCCATTTCCCTCACTCCATTTTGGGTCCTTGTCCCATTGAGTTGGCATGGGTCAGGTACTCCACAACACCATTGCAACAAAAAATTATTATTTTTATTTTATGTGTATGAGTGTTTTCTCTGCATGTATGTAAGTGCACCTGTGTTGTGCAATACCCATGGAAATCAGAAGAAGGCATCAGAACAGGAGTTACAATGGTTGTTCACTACCATGTGGATACTGGCAATCAAACCCAGGTCTTCTGCAAGAGCAGCCAGTGCTCTTAAACACTGAGCCATCTCTCCAGAGTTTCTTGAAACTATTGGGAATTCATAGCATGGATGATCACTGGTGACACACCAGGGATATTTGTGCTCCAAATGCATGTCAGAAAGCTCTCTGATTCTTCATATTTGAAGTCCTCACACCAATGAGTATGGAACTCAGAAGATGACTTGGAAGAGTCAGTCTCTTTCTACCCTGTGAGTTACAGGGACTGAACTCACATTATCAGGCTTTTCAGGAATTGCCTTTACCCACTAAGCCATCTCACCAGCCCATATGCTCATATCTGATTCTATAATGCTACTTGTGTTATGAACCCTTTTACTTCAGAAATCTCCACTAGGAACTGCATCAGAATTCTCATGCTCCCTCTTAGAGAGTCTCTATATGAGTTGTGAGTGGAGGGTATTAGCTGGGAGGTTTTTGGTCTTTCCTCTTCTTGGTTCTAAATTGTGTTATGAAATCTCAAACAATACCTTACAAAGTAGTAGTGATGGCTGGATCATTCTGTCAAAAGTAGAGTATCTCTGATAAATATCTGTACAGAAAGGAGAGAATGTGAGAAAATTCTTGCCCTCTGGAAGTGGTCTGACAGCATTGCAGGCCATGTGACATTTCTCATGGTCACGAAAAATTTACTCATTTTTCTAAGGCATATCTGGGGTAAGGGATAGCAGCTGTGAGGATGTTCTGGTAATTCAGATACATGACAGAAAGAGAATGAGATGGTGTGATCAGGGTGTCTACCTTGAGTTTTACTGAAGCTGCATTTACTATGATTTCACTGTCCTAGGACCCTTCACGCTGTTTTACAAACCCCATCCCTGAGGAGGACGCAAAAAGAGAGCCTCTGCTGTCAAACCTGCCTGTGTTCAGATTATGACAGTGTGGATGGAGCAAGTGCTAGGGATGCTTTTTCTATTTAAGTGGATGGTACAGTGTGGTCTTAGTGTGGTTTCCTTTGTAGCAATAGAATACCGCAGCCAGGATAATTTATACAAGATGAATATTTTTTCAGCTTAAAATTATGGAAGCTGAGATATGGAAAAGCCACATCTGAGAGAGCTATCATTTTGGTGTGGACAACCTGGAGAGTCCCTATGTGAAATCGAGTATCACATTGAAAAGTAGAGTATATTCAAGATATGGATGCAAACAGAATTCATCAGAGATCCATTGTAAACATAGACAGAAATGAATTAATCAATTTTCTGTGAAAAGATATATCCATAATCACTACTTCGAAGGCTCACATGGACACACCTATTGATAAATCACATGAAATGAAATTTCAAACTAATTTTGACAGTGATACTATAACAGGTGTGGGCCCATCAGTCTTCACTCAGTCTTCTTCGTAATTTGACTTCTTGGATGTCATCCAACTCTCTCTCTCTTTTTAAAATTTATTTTCATTTTATGTGTATGTGTTACACCTGTACATATCTAAGTTCCCCTGTGTTGTGCAGTGTCTGCAGAGGACATTAAAGGATATTGTCAGATCCCCTGGAACTGGACTTATGGACAGTTGTTAGTCACCATGTGGTCAGTGGGATTTGAATCCAGGTCTTCTGAAAGAATGCAAGTGCAACCATGTTGTGCAATGATTGAGGAGGTGATTTCCTGTAACTGGAGTTATGGACAGTTGTTAGCCACCATATGGGTGCTGGGAACTGAACCTGGGTTCTCTGCAAGAGCAGCCAATGCTCTTACTCACTCAGTCATTTCTCCAGACCCTGCATCTCAAATAAAGGCACATTTTCTCTATTTCTCAGAAAAGTTCTGGAGAGAGTATGCATAGATCACCTGCTTTGTGAGCTGTGTTCACTAATGCTGTAAATTAAATCTAGGACACCTTCCCTTCTGCCCAAGGGATTTATTGGGGGCGTTTATTTCCCATTTATACATGCTATCAAGTTTTTCCCCTAAACTGCTGTGGTGAAGTCTTATTCTGAGATGTGGTAGAATTGTAATGAGGGATTTCAAAAGCACCTATGTTTCAATGATTTTATGAGAGTGAGCCTCAATTTTTGGATTAGGAACCCAGTGACAAAAGGGAGTTAAGTTTCTCTCTTTTCCTCATTCCCTCTTTCCCTACTTCCTTCTTCCCTTGCCCCTTCCTTTATACCCTTCCCCTTCTTCTCCCCATACACTCCTCTAATTGTCCTTCCCTATTTCCTCCATCCTTACCTCCTTCTTTCTCCCTTCACAGCCCCTCCACATTCTTCTTCTGCTTTCCCCTTCCCTTTCTCCCTTCACCCTACCTTCCTCCCCTCTCTCCTCCTCCCTCTCTTTCTCTCAATCTCTGTGCCATTCCTCCTTCACTTCCTCCTCCCTTTTCCCATACAAACATGTATACTGTGTTTAGGAACTGGATATCAAGACAGCCTGATATTGTACTTTCAAGCCTCCAGAAAATTGAAATTGAAATATCAGTTAAGGTGATGCACCTCTCCTATCCAGCTTATGTGATTTTGTTAAAAAATCTAGCACAGAGTTACAGGACTTTGTCTCTCATCTCTGATGCACACAAGTGAGGGTGTGGCATTAATTCAACACTTCTCTAAGTCCAATTAGTATGCTCGATAAAAATTATATTCTGTGTAGTTATTTAATCTTTTCCCAAGCTGTCATGTCCCTTACTCAGTGAATTTCCACTCGATTGTTTTTGTAAGAAACACCTTCAGCCACACTCCCTCTTTTCATTTTATCTTAAGTAACAAAATAAAGGTCAACATCCTACTGATAGTTTTCATTGACTGAAAACTTCTAAAATCAGGAGCTTGGTGTTTATATTAGCATCATAGTTCCAACAAAGTGCCTGATAAAGAACATGTGCTGAGTGAATGATAAGAGTCAAGAAGAACAAGCTAATTCATAAACATTTAATTTCATCAATGCTCTTGAATAAGTCAAGAATAAAATTTAATTACATGTAACTTTATGAAACCGCATAATAAAAGCAATGAAAGAAAACTATGCTTTACCACGTGGTAATTCCCAAGCAATCCATTAAGTATATTTACTCACTAACTGTGGAATTATTTCATATTTTCAAGGAAACATTCCTTGTGATGTGGTATTTTTATATCTGGATGATAGAAATACTTGAAGTGTCAACATGGTTGGAAGAAGCTTCTGGACAGTCTACTGTAGGAACTTCACTAGCTTGGGCAGTGGTAACAGGATTAGCTTCATCTCCAACTTCTACATGCTCTTGTGGTTTTTGCAAAGCCTCTTCATAAAGGGCTGAGATGACACTAGGTGTAGTTGTTAAGCTTGGCCAAAAGCTCCAGGACTTTCATCTTGCTTATTTCAGTGTGGGCTTGGGAACCCCACAGGAACTCATAGCTTGGAGGATCACTGCCGGCCACCTGCCAGTACTCCAGGTACTTTAGCCTCACCAAATACTGGGTCATGAGCTTCCGGGGCTCTCCAAAGACGCAGTGTTTCTTCCCAGGATAGATTTGCTGCTTCTTCAAGATTTTCCAGATGTCTTCTTCACTGACACAGTTACCCCTGATGAAGATGATATCCAGGATCCTCATCAGGAAACCGGTCTTGGGTAAGCCCTTGCCAGCACGAACCCTCCCATTGTTGGGGAGGTTTAGTTTGTTGATAAGGTCGTATGAAGGACCATTGGAGTCGACATCTCTCAGTTCAACAGCAAAGATATCTTCGAGTTTCTCAGAGGCTTTCCTGAGGATCTCCGGAAAATCTTTTTTCATATCTCTTGTTAATAACCCTCAGCATTTCTTCCTTGGTACCAAGCAGCTTCATATCATAGTTGTTCAGCAGGAACTGCAAAAGCACCATCATGCTCTGGCTATAAGTTCTTGCTGTGGATTGATAGTGAAGAGTTTGGCTTCAGGAGAACTTTCCCTTTCCTTCCTTTCCTCCGCCAGGCCCGGCACCTTTCATCTGATCCCGAGGAAGAAAAGACTTTGGTAGACATGGTGGAGTTTGTAGCTTTCTGAGGAACCATTAGAGTGATACATATCTTAACGTATGGCTGACTCTGAGAGGAAGCAGAGAACTCTTTTGCTTCCTGAGCTGCTGCCTCTGCTAATTCCTGAGCTGCTGCCTCTGGTGCTTTCTGAGCACCCCCAAAAGCCTGAGCATAAATTTGGGTCTTGTGGCGGTTTTTTTTACAGGTATGAAGCTTATTCTTTTCACCTCGAGGCGTGATGACTCTGGTTATAAAAAATACTAGAGAGTTTTGGAAGGATGCTGGTGATACAGACACCTGGAAGAGGTGGCAGAAGATATGAGCACTTTTAACAGTGAAAGAACTCATTGTATGTAACTAAGTAGCCTCTGTAAATTTCTATGAGTGCAGTGCTACATGAACCCAGGATGTTGCTCTTCTAAAAGGCCCATTCCTTGAGTGAGAAGGCAGTGTCTTTTTCAGCCTGCAATCTGCCAACTTTACAGTACCTATTGGGTTAATGACCAGGGGAAGGCTATGGAACCGGTATGTTTTGAGATGTGGGTAACCTCTCTGTTGCCAGTCAGAAATATCACATCAGTGGTTGGCAAATTTTGGTCCTTTGTGCATTGCTATTCTGAATCTGCCATTTATGTAAAATTCTTTTCACTGTTTTCTTCAGATAATATTCTTTGCCTTAGCTCCATGAAATATCTATGCAATTAGAGCTGGAGAAATGGCTCAGCCATTAAGAGCATAGGTTGCTCTTATATCTAAGAGTACCCTGGTTCAGTTCCCCACAATCACATGGTGGCTAAATCAAGTTTCAGGTGATCCAATGCTCACTTCCGGCCTCTGCATACATTACACACGCACATGTTGCACTTACATCTACACAAAACACTCGTAGAGATAAAATAAAAATAAATTAAAGATAAAAATAAACACCTACATACCCTCCTACTGTTGATTCACTCCATGTCTTTTACACAAAATCTCTCACAACTGTTATAATCCCCACCCCATAGTACTTAGAAGAAATGTATCTCTCTCATCCATCATAGCTACACAGGCAACACAAGCTGCCATTATGGGAGGGCTTCTGTGGATCTTCCGCCTGCATCCTTACCTTAATTTCTTCTCTAGGCTAACTTGAGGATTCTCTACTCACAGGAGCTCCCTATATCTCCTTTTATAAATCAACTCAATAGATTTTTCTAGGGGACTCAGTATTTATAGCAGTGGTAGGTTCTGAGCCACATGATACTCCTAGGATAGGTGATTTCCTCAGAACTCACTCAAGTCCCCGGGAGAGTTGACTGAGGTCACCTTATCCCCAAGCTAAGCTCTGAAATCTCTCAAACTATGGAAATGGAAGCCAGGGAACATGTTTACTCAACCCTGTCTTTGTGATCTGTGGTCTTCATGGGCATCTCCATCAGAGTTTATATTTTCTGTTGTTAGACTGAACATCTCCTACATCTGTTGAATTACTGATTCCTTATTTTTATTTATTGTCTCATCTCAGAGACCACAGAGGTAAACAAGAGTGTGGCTCTGACCTGGCCCATTTTGATCACCTCTTCTCAAGACTAAGAACAAGGGAATGGATGAGAGTTCATTTAGAAATTAAGAAGTGTGGCGTTTGTTTCCCAGTACCCAGGAATGGTGGTTCAAACCCACCAGTAATACCACCTCTAGTGTATCAGATGCTCCTGGCCTCTGAGCGCATGTGCACTAGCATGCTCTTACGTACATACAAATACATGTAATTAAAAATAAAATAAATCTTGAAATACACTCTCTTTACCCCTTACAGCAGCCATCAATAGGCAGGCCCAGTGGATGTACCCACACTGAAGGACACAAATCAGACTCCATAGGCTATAATTTAATTGGGGGGGAAATGTGGATATGGGACAAGATCTAAATACCATCATCAAAGTATATTGTATGAAAATTGCAAAAAGTTAATAAAAAATTTATAATCTGAAAATAAAAAATAAATCCTTAAAAAAAGACTGATGGGGCCTAGAGAGCTGGTTCAGTGGTTAAGAGCAGTGGCTGCTCTTGCAGAGGGTCCAGGTTCCATTCCTACACCCACATGGTGGCTACCAACCATGTGTAACTCTAGCTCCATGGGATGCAAAGCCCTCTTCTGACCTCTGGGGGTATTATACGACAGGAGTACACTTAACCTACATGAAGACAATACAATCACATACATAAAATAAAAATAACAAAATATTAAAAAATATAAAAATTAAAAAATAAAGTCCAAGAAAAAAAGATGGGATTGGTGGTGATGGCACTTTTATGAGATGGTCGCAAATGAGAACAAGACCATAGCTTTCTGGGATAGGGGATTCAACCTCTGATACTGCTGACCAAGGGCAGAGAAAACCACAGTTTTGTTTTTTTGTTTTGTTTTGTTTTTGTTTTTGTTTTTTAATCTGAGTGATGAGAAACTGATAAACTCAGAATAAGGGCACCACTTGTAAGGTTCAAGAATAAGAGCTAATAGTACAGTTTTCTGAGACTCATAAGGACTGGAAAGAAAGGAGCTGGGGAAGAGAGGAGAGAGGGAAGGGGGCACAGGTGTATAGGGAAAAAGGGTAAATAGGGTATAGAGGGTGGGGTGGTTGTAGGGGGTAGGGAGTTGTGCAAGGGGGCTGGAATCCGTAGGGTAGTAGGATAGTAGGGATGTGAGGTGTGTGAGGTGATGAGAGTGAGGGTCGGGGAGTGGTAGTTGTGGGAGTAAGAGGCATCTACTGAGGTCAATCTATATTGGCCACTTGCTTGTTCCTAAAGCAAGGCTATTCTTAAGTGGGTGTACATGGAGAATTATGGCCAGAATTGTGTGTCTAGGGAGGGCTGGGAGGGGGCTTCTCATCTAAGGTCAACCAAGCCTAACACTGATTGTGTGGCTGTCTTGAATGGTGGCCAAGGAGCCTGAGGATGCCCTTGGCTTCCTTGTGGGCCCTTGAGAAGGGGAGGAGCTCTTCAAGGCCAAGAATAACCACATAGCTTTAAAAGGGTCTCTATTCTACTGTGGACATTTCTCTCAGTCTTATTCACCTCCTCAACTTGATTAGAGCCGAAACTCACATTTTCTTTTCTCTGGGCCCCGCCTCAGCCTTATGACGCTTCACTGTAGTCATTGGTGCAGAAGCACCAAGGAGTAAACTGCTGTGACAAACAGAAAGGCCGTAAACATAGGATGTCTTCAAATGCTGTATCTTTGGTACCTCCTCTAGTGGGGGGTGAGTGGACTCCCTCAGCTTCACAGAACATGGGACATTTGGAGCTGGAGACGTGGCTCAGCAGTTAAGAGCATTGGCCGCACTTACAGAGGACCCAGGTTCGGTTCCCAGCACCCACATTGCAGTTAACGACGGTCCTTAACTCCAGTTCCAGCGGATCTAACAGCATCTTTTGGCCTCTACCTGTGGTGCACTTACATATATGCATGTGAAACACTCCTATACACAAAATAAATATTTTTTATTAAAAAAAGAAAAGGGTACATTTGTCACTTTGTATTGCTTTAAGGAAAGCAACACAGCTATCTGCTTATTTTTTGAGATCCTATTAGGTAAGTCAGCTTGAGAGAGGAAATTTGGTCTGCCTGGCCTAAGTGCAGGTAATAGAAAGTCCTTTTTTGAACCCATATGCATAGGTGTTCTCGGTCAATAATTATCTAGGTCTTCCCCATGGGTCCTGGTTTTGTTTTGCTTTGCTGTGGAATATTTTTCTCTTTATTTATTTATTTACACCCGTGTCGTGCAATGCTACAGAGGTGAGAAGAAGGGCTTTGGAATTCCTGGAACTGGAGTTAAGGATGGTTGGTAGCTGCCATGTGGGTGCTGGGAATCAACCCCAGGTCCTCTGCAAAAGCAGTCAGTGCTCTTAACTGCTGAGCCATCTCTCCAGGCCCTAATTTTTTCTTTTTAAGAAATATTTTTATTGAACTTTTGAGAATTTTATATAATGTATTTGATCATATTCAGATTCCATCCTTTTAGTACTCCCCTGGTCCGATTTCATGTCCTATTTTTTTAAGGCCTATGGAGTCTGAATTCCCTTCAGTGTGACTCCATTCCTTGGAGCCTGATCAATATAGCCAGCCACACATCCTTAGAGAAAACTGACTCTACCTCTCCCAGCAGCTATCAGTTGTCAGTGATCCTCATCTAGGATTGGATGAGACCTGTTTCTTTAGTTAAAGTTTTCTTGGAAAATGGAAAATACTTGCATGTTCTTGGGTAGTGCCACTCCTTTGAATACTGGAATAAGTCTGTGTCTTCAGAGTGGTAGAAATAAGGAAGCTTAAGAATAAGGCTGGATAGGGGCTGGAGAGATGACTCAGTGGGTAAGAGCACTGATTGCTCCTGCAGAGGACCCGGGTTCAATTTGTAGTATCCACATGCTGGCTAACAACCATCCATAACTCCAGTTCCAGGGGATCCAACATGGGCAATGCACAATTTGGGTGCACTTACATAAATGCAGTTAATAAACTAAAGCATGTGAAATAAATTGCTAAAAAACAAAGTAAGGCAGCTGTAGATGGGCCCAGGGATGTTTGGGACATAAATTGATTCTACAGGCCATATCATTCATACACACACACACACACACACACACACACACACACACACAAAGACTGAATTTTTGTAAGATTTCTATAATTAAATATTTAATTAATACAGGAAAATGATGAGTTAAATGTTTTTGTTAGACTCTAAACTTTTGAAGTAAATTCACATTAAACACTTGGATGTTCATACTGTTTGAAAATTATTTCTTGTTCATTATTTAATTCCCTCACTTGTTTTGATGTGATTACTCTTCTATAGATCGAATCTAATACTTTGAGCACAAAATC